AAAATAGATTTAGACATATACTTTACACACTAGTGCGTGAAGTATTTTCACTTTACGCACTAGTGCGTGAAGTGATTTACCAGAAAAATACTAAATTGACAGTGTCAACATCTGTCATTGACATTACTTTACGCACTAGTGTATGAAGTGAATTACTTTACGCACTAGTGCGTGAAGTGAAATTTTACGTCTTCTAAATAGTGCGTAAAGTGGGTACTTTAAGCACGGTAGTAGAAAAAATATTATAATATGCATAGGTAGTATCAAAGCCCTCTATATTGTCTAACGACAAGCCGTGAAGTTAAAATGGCAACGCTGCATATTTCTCTTCAAGTGGTCCCAGTAGCGGATCTAACATGAAGCAAAGGACGCACTCTGCGTCGGGCCCCCAGAGCTGAGGGGCCCCCACACAACCAGATTCTAAAGGCATTGATAAAAAAAATTAATAAAAAAAACACTCATGAATATGAAAAAAATCGAAAATTAAATTTTGATAGTTACGGCAACGTTGTATACCTCTAAGGAATCCTGCTGTGTTCGACGCGATGTGGCAACCGCAGACGCGCGGGATGCATGTTTTACTTTTTTGATCTTTTCGTAAGTGGGGGTGGAGACTACTACATGTTATATTTCTTTTTGTTTGGATGGAAAGTTCCTGAATTTTTACAAATAATAATTTTTTTCGTTCAACTTGTTTTCATATTGTCTCATATGTTCTTACAGTCTAGCAAATTTAATTTTGCCGGCGACGTCTGAGGAGCTAAGAGCAGAAAAATGGTGGACACACATGGTGATTGGTGGGTTGTATCGTGAACCTTGTCAAACTTGTTTTTATAAAGGTAGCGATAATGGATTTGAATCATCTGCAGCCAATCGCTTTATGGATGTACTGTCAAAGAAGAGGAGTTGACACACCTGTCAATTTTTTGTCCGCATTCTTTTCTTCGGCAAATTTATATTTGCCTGACTTTTAATAAAGTTGTTTTTCAATTAGGCACTAGCTGACGTCACACACATAACCTCACCTCCAAAAGAGGGACAAACAAAGCGTTTAAGGACTATTACACACATCGGTTAGGCGATAGCTATTACGTTACAAATCACATAACGTCACTTTTCGGGGGACAGACATATCATTAACCAAGGTTCCTAAACTTGATAGGTTGCCTGGTAATGGGTAAGTTGATGAGGCATCTGGGGTACCCTATGGAGATTTGCATTATGTTCAGGCATCCCGGATGACGTCATGAAGTTATCAGACAACCTACCTCTCTCAAACAAACTTGACGGCCGTTTTCGCCAATTACATATTTTAGAGAAGCCTTAACTAGTATTCCTTAAAATGACAGTTTTCCTAAGTTTTCCATGGAGAAATATCAGTTTGAGGAATACTTATCGTTAAGCTTCCCTAAAATAGTTGATGAAAACGGCCATGAGACAAACAAACGCTTTGATTGTCCCCCTATCAAAAATGAGGTTATGTGTGTGACGTCAGCTATTGTCTCTAGCACCACAAGAAAAATACTAAAAAAAAAACATGATAGGGCCCCAAAATTTTTTAATGCGTCGGGCCCAAAGGTCCTAGGTCCGCCACTGAGTGGTCCGGTCTGGTCCGGCCGCCTGGTAGCGCGGCAAACATTAAATTTGAGATTTTAAATTTTAAATAGAATATAGGTATGAAGAGGATAAAAAACAACAAGAATTTTTGGCATTTCAATTATTTTATTGTGTAATTTACATTAGAAAAATAAAAATTTAAGTGAATTTTTTAATATCTAACATAACCTACAACTATTATTATTGATAAGTAGCAAGTTTTCTTTTCTTTAGGTTTGAATTTTTATTCCTGTGAATTTCACTATTTTTATTTTTTACGAAATTGTTTAAAATAATATTAGTAAAAATAAGAGCAACTGTGTAATACATTTTATAATATGATACGCCACATTCGCATCAATAAAGACTTGTACAGTGAGTGTATTGTCAATAATAATACTGGAAACAACACTTTCTTCACAGTCCAAGTCACCAACACACAGGTTTAATAAAAAAAGTAAACTTTCTCTCCTTTAACTTTAAAATCCCACTGTTCTAAACAGACTTTTGATTTAAAAATTTGAAGAAATTCCGCAAAACTCTCTATTTTATCATTTTTCAAGAAAGTCTGTGTTTCCTGAAGTAGTTTGTCTCGAATTTTTTCTCTCCTTTCTTCGGGATCAACCCTAGAAGTCGCTAGAGATTTTGACAAATACCTATTTAAGCTGATTAGGAAAAATATGGGGCACTGCACCTTCACTTAATCTTGGCCTCTTAAGTGGAAATTCACTCAAAACTCCTTGTTTGTTTTTATATGTTTCGACTCTTATTATTTCCGATATTTCAAAATGTTCCTCACAAACTACTGAACCACTGGAAACCTCCCAATTGTCCCTGTGAATGGAGCGAATCCATTGCTGACGAATGTGTTCCTCTTTTGGAAAGGAAAATGTGGATTTCATTGCATCATGTTTAATTGCATTTGCATAATTTGAAGTACAGCCAGGGACGCAGCAGTGTCTGGGCACCTAAAATTAACGACATTATTCCTATTTTATTAGTATTGAAATTCAAATATCAGGGGCTTGTTTCATAAAAAATATTAGTCTAATAATATTACTCTTTAGCCAATAATATAAGTCAAAATTATGATATTGATAATGTAATTTTGACTTATAATACTTGCTAAAGAGTAATATTATTAGACTAATATGTTTTATGAAACAGGCCCCAGATAAAAAGTATCAACCAACTTTTATATGCATAATGTTTATTTACTCACCCTGACTTTATCTCTTTATTTAATATACACAGAATTATTTTGCAATAATTTAAAAATTATATACTTTAGTTATTTAAACTGTTTATTGGCGAATATTTGATATTTTTACCGGCCTACTGCACAATATGACACACCTAACCTCGTAAAAACCTATAAAACCATCGGACCACACAACACGTTGCCAGATTGTGCACTTCACGGCTTGTCGTTAGACAATATAGAGGGCTTTGGTAGTATACAATGCTTGTTAAATTCAACTTTGATGCTATTTTTTTGAGACACCTACCTAGCTAAAATTATATCAAGTGGGTACATTAAGCTTTATTTGCTTAAAATTATAGAAATCAACTAAAATAATTCGTAAGCAAATTAATATGTAATATTTTATTTCAATCAAATAAATGGGATTAAAGAATAATAATTTTGTTCTTTTCATTGATACATTTGTTTACATAATGATTACCCAAACTGCTCTTTTTCTATCTTATCTATCAACGTGAATTAAATAGGTACAGTGGGAATCATTGCAATTGGCACACACTATATAAATATCCCTCGTAATGTGTCAAATCTGACACACCAGTAATAGTAAAATGCTGCACTAAATAGATTTATTAGTTAGAATTTTGACTCAATACGAGGGATTTTTAAAAAGTGTGTGCCAATTGCAATGATTCCCACTGTACCTACATACAGGTATAAGATTTTCACGCTATATTTAGGATGATGTCACATTTGGTAAATTTCTGCTGCAAACCTTACAAAACTAAAAGTACTTCTTAACGCATTTGAAGTAGGGGAATTTCAGACGTATCTGGTTGGCAACGGCGCGCCACGTTGCATGATTTAAATAAACATTATCAAACAAATAACGCGTGTCGATTCATTTCGTTATTTTTAGCTGTCAGTGGTCTTAATAATTTATTATGACATTCTGGTAAATTATAAGAAAACAAATAAATATAACGTAAAAAACCTATAGGTACCTACACATTTTTATTATTCGTAAAGCTCCATTCTGATTGTGAACGAACGACGCCTGAGATTTGCCATAATGTTTTATTCCATTTCAATGAAATTCTATCGTAGTTTTTCTACCTGAAACCGGAATTAGATAACGGCTGGAACTCTGTAACAGATAATACAATTAATAACAAGTACATCAGGTGGTGCGCCACTGATTGACTTACCTGTTGAAGAAAAGGTTAGGAAATCCGCATTATTTTTTCCACAAACCAGGCACAGCTCAAGCATGATTCTCCACATGTATTAAATTTAATATTTTTTTGAATAAAAAACAGAGCTCAAAATCATCAAAATCCCAATAAAACGCGAGAACAAAATCACAAAACAACAAATCGAAAATCAGCTGTTTCAGCCTTGACAAGTGATGACCAATCAAATCGTTTAAAAAAAATCGCTTCAGGTTTTTCTACTTATCCAACGTATCAGTGCATACTTGGTATAAGACATGGGCTTAGAAAGTGACCCCTTCTTGGCTGAATTTATTTTGAATGCATTGCGTATCTAGGTGTTAGCCTGTATATAATCTAAGATGCATACCTAGTCGAGTATATAGTACTTACTTTCTAAATAATTACCCTCCGAATGAAAAAAAAAATATCTTGTTTCTGTAGTTTTTGTACCTAATATTGTTCTTTTCTCTGGACAATAAAGCATTTTCTGGTTCTGATTCTGATTGTGTCACATGGAAATAGAACTGATGAACCCTGGAATCGTCCTCATTGAAATTCCGTCATCAAAATTCTTGAAGATATGAGATAAGTTGTCGTCCAAAGATTTTTATAATTTAAATCATCCATTGGCCACGTACACTCTAAAACTTTTTGCTGTAACCAGCGCTCTCCCAATGGGAATGCTTTCAGGCTCTCTAAATGAAATCATGAGATGTCTTGAAAAGTTTCAGGTAGTTACCAATGCTGTTCATCAGACATTCCATTTTTCTTTCCGCTATCCTTCACTTATCTTTCTGTTTCTATCAAATCAACTTACTTGATAGCAAATCCGCATGTTGCAAACTTCATAACCCAGTCTACTTTTCTTTCTCCGTCAACAATATGAGACGTTAGCAATGCATTCTAGGATGAAAACTTTCCATGAAGCATATTCACTCCTTCCCAAGAGATAACTTCACCAGTCAGTTAGAAGAAATATTTTTCAGAAGCTGCTGCCGAACCCCCTGTTCCATACATCAAGTTAGACGAGGAAGTTCCACCGCCACCGACACCAGCAGAAGAATCACCAATAGACACAGCAGAACTTAGAGCAGAAGTGACTACAACACCGGCCGGTGAAACTGAAATTGACTTAAAAGTTGCTGAGAGTGAACTAGAAACAGCTGCAGAAGTCGAGGCACCGCCTGCCGAAAGCGCCGAAGAAGCTGAAGTTAAACCAGAAGGTAATAAGAGTTAATGATTTTTTTTTTCCAAGTTATACAATTTTGGTTTGCAGAAGTTGAAGAAGTTGCACCAATAGAGGAAGGCGAAGCGCCACCGGCTGAAGAGGGACAGGTTGAAATAGTTGAAGTTGCGGAGCCTGCAGAAGAAGTTGAAACTGTTCCAGTGGAAGAGGGAGCTCCAGCGGAAACAGGAACTGCAAGTGGGGAGCCATCTATTACTGAAGCTGTTGCTGAAGAAGGTTCTAATTAATAAAACTTCTATTGACAAAACTGAGTCCCTATTTGTTTTTTAGCAGCAGTTTCTTCTGAAGCCCCTACAGAAGGAGAAATCGTGAAGGAAGAAGAAGCATCAGAACCACCTTCAGACGTGGAAACAGGGTTTACTTCAGAAGCCACTGAAGGAGAAACAAGTCCTGATGAGATGCCAACTGCCACAGATGAAGGAGAACCCTGATTGTTTATAATGAGTGATTTTATTTATTTAATATTATTATTAAAGCTTTTCAACTATTAAATATTAAACTTCGTGTTTGACTAGAAGAAAAATAGCGTCAACTGAAGAGGATCAAGCAGGTTTTAATGGCCGCGTTCACCAGATACAAACGTTGGTAAACGGTTTGCGATTGTTCTGCTGAACTCTACGTTGAATTTGTGTTAAAACCAAACATGTTTTGCAAACGGTCGCCATTTTTGCAAGCATAATTGACCTTTTCAATTTAAAACCCTCTCTCTCTGGCGTCTAACTGTCAGACGCCAAAAGAGTATGAAAACAACGGTTGACAGCCGCTGACAGTGGTTTGTTGACAAGACTTTTGTACATGTGGAAACTGGAAACTATTATTTCTTCGGTTTTTTCAATGTTTTTGCCTAACAATAATGATTGTGTAGTGTGCCTTTTTGTAAAAATAATTCCTATTTACCGGCGGAGGTGTATTTCCATAAGTTTCCATCAAATCCTACATTTCTCAAATTTTGGATACATAAAATCAGAAAGAATACTCGCAAAAAAAAAAAGGAAAATCCACGGCCTATCAAGTATACACAGTAATCCACGTTCAAGTTTAGTTTGCGGGAGCTGTTTGCTTCCAAAATAATCCACCGCTTTCTCCATAGCGAAGTTCTGCAAATAAAGTAGAGACTTTTCCCACATTTTCTTTCAAAACACCCAATACACACTGGCATTGACAAGCAAGCAAATTTTGGCGGGAAAATGATTGTTTTCATACTTTATTGTCCATCTCTTTTAATTGAAAACGTCAATTTCAGAGTGTTTATAATTTTCAATACTGTGTTTTGTGTGGTGACCTGTCATCCAGAAGGTGACGTTCGTGACGTTCTATAGAATTTTTAATACCTATACGTGCGTTTTTATTCTCATCGAGTTTTCCTGATGAATTCCATCACCAATGAGCGCCGATGAGCAGTACGTCATCAAAATTCATCGCAATTTTGTTGATGAAATGAATCAACTAAAAAACACTTCGATGAATTTTGACACTTGAATTGATACTTTTGGCATTGATTTGTGTTGTTTGTTTGATGTGGCAAACTTATTATTTTTTTATTAGTTTAAAAAACCGTAGCCATACAATGATTGGAAGTCTAGTGTCAGTTGAGAATAATTGTGAGCTCTTCATCATCATCAAGTGATGAGTCTAGAAGTTCTTCAGATGAAATAGTTTTACTTGAATTGTAGAAAACATAAAAAAATACAAAATTATATTTCTTCTGTAGTTCTTTACATAGTGATTTAGATGTTAAGTATCATTTTAGACTTACTAGGACTGTAGTGGAGGTGAGAGATTAGAAATAAAATTATCTCTGAGACAGTTAGCTGAGCTTTAAGACCTCACAAATTAAGTTTGATTTAATATTTCAGATATATTTCTCACTTGTCACAAAGTTAGGTAATTTGGCGCTCATGCTCAGAACTCTTAGGTTTGGTATGGTCTCGGTTTTCACACCCTTCAGATCACTTGAACATGCCCTTTTTCCTTTTTTTTTGTTAAGGTCTTCGCAAATCTTCACATAATAAATATAAATGCAAAACAAAACGATGCCAGTCGGCCATCAACAACCGTCAACATAATTTTGAGGTTACATTTTACGTTATAATTCATCAGTTCATCCTAAATGAACCTCGATGAATTCGATGGCTAATCGTACTTTCACCGATAAGTGTAGGATGAGAATAAAAACAGACCGATGAAATCCATCGATGTTTTACTGATGAGAATAAAAACAGCCAATTGACATTTTCGCTTAATCGATGAGCACATCGGTGAGAATAAAAACGCACGTTATTTAGAAGTACCAGTCGTTCTAGTGACTAAACGTATGTCGCTTCTTGAACACACAAATAAAATTAGGTTAGGAATTTCCTATTCGTACCATCGTCACCAAAAGTATCTGGGACAAAAATAATTCATATTAATCTCCTTGGGCCTGTTTCATAAAAAATATTAGTCTAATAATATTACTCTTTAGCAGGTATTATAAGTCAAAATTATATTATCTATATCATAATTTTGACTTATAATATTGACTAAAGAGTAATATTATTAGACTAATATTTTTTATGAAACAGGCCCCTGGACTAAGTCTACTGTCATTCATTTCAATGCATTTAATACATAATTTGACAAATATTTGACACCTAAAATCATATAATAGTACAAGAGCTAACATGATGCTGTCCCAGTTACTTTTGGTGACGATGGTACATGAAATTGACGTATTAGTAATCAACGTTCGTTTTTGTTGGTAATTTTTTGTTTCATCTGATTCGTGATTGATAAATAAGGATGGGGTTATTCTAAATGGGTATTAAAAATACTATATCATTGAAAAGTTGAATCGTTCAGCAGAACCAAGAGTTTACCCAACATATTCTGTTGGTATTTGTAAACTGTTTACAATCGGTTTTGGTTCTGGTGAACGTAGCCAAATGTTGTAGAAATTTTGTTACTAGAATTGCAGAAGAAGGGACGTAAACACAAGATCTAGTACGAAAATGCATTTTACGCAGAAAAGCTCCAGGAGCATCAAATAATTTACTGTCTGAGTTAGCGGCTGCGGCTGAAGACCATGAAATATGTCTACTGCTTCTTATTTCACTTCCAGCAGTCGTAATATTAAAACCACTTACGAACCCGAACTCGAATAAACACTTATCCTTATAGCATCGTCCCGTTTATTCCTGTCTTTGTAAGACAAAAGTTTGTGATTCCACAAACACGGATGCTCTTCATAAACTTCCAAAAACTTTATATGTTCAATTTTTTAGATTTACTTGACATTTTCATTATTTTCCTGAAAACGACTAGTGAAAATGTTTGAATTTTTTGACAAACTTGCGTATATGGCAATCTGGCGCCAAAAAGTAGACCTTCAAGCAGCGTTTCCACATGCATAGTTTATTAGCGCCAGTCGACTGGCGCAACTTTTCTGGCGCGTGGAAACTCGGAAAATTAACTCGCCATTTAACTTGCGCCACTTATCCATGCGCCAGTAAAGTAGAATGGAGGTCTACTTTTTGGCGCCAGTTTGTCATGCGTGCCAATTTGTCAAAAAAAATACAAACGTTTTCACTAATCGTTTTCAGAAAGATAATGAAAATATCAAGTAAATCTGGAAAATAGAACATATAATAAGGTTTTTGGAAGTTTATGAAGAGCATCCCTGTTTATGGAATCACAAACTTTTGTGTTACAAATGTTACAATGACAGGAATAAACGGGATGATGCTATATGGATACCTATGGCGTTTGAGGTCATGTCCGAGTTCGGGTTCGTAAGTGGTCTTGATATTACCACTGCTAAAAGTAAAATAAGAAGCAGTAGACATGCTTCATGGTTCTCATCTGCTAACTCAGACAGTACCTAAATTATTTGATGCTCCAAGAGCTTTTCTGCGTGAAATCCATTTTCGTTTGTGTTTACGTCCCTTCTCCTTGTTTTTTCGTATCTTCTGCAATTCTAGTAACAAAATTTCTACAACAACAATAAAACCTGCTTGAACCTCTTCAGTTGACACCATTTTTCTACTGCGCCAGTTAAAAGTTTCTGATATCAAGTGAAAGCACATATATACCTTTTTCACTTATTATTGGCGTAGTGGCGTGCCATGGAAATTTGGCAGGTTGACCCTCGTATAATAATGACAGTATATGTCAAATTCCAGACAGTTTTAAGTGCGGTTTACGTAATTTCGTAAGTGCGGCGGTATTAAAATTTTCTGGCCTATCTGGCAAATCAAATTTGACACATTTTTCAATTCATTTTTCAATAATGCTATATTATAACCGGTACCTAAATACCTAACTATTTTGCGTACCTGCAAAATCTAATGACATTTTTTAAAATTCGGCATTGTCAAATTTCTTTCGTATTGAAGATGCCGAAAATAATTTCAGAAGAAAAAAAAAGGGAAATATTAAAATGTCATGGTTATTTAAAAAAAATAAACCAGAGGCTCTCCAGGGAACAATTGAAGCCCAACTTGAAGATATATTTGAGGTAGGTATAACTTAAATGTAGATGTGAAGCCATTTCTTACCCAACCAACATTTTCCTTAAATTTTAGGTGGGAACCAGGACTATTCAAAGAATTTTGACTGGACAATATACAAACAAAAAACCTTTAGGCCGACCGAAAAAGACAGACTAATATGGACCGAATGTTTAAAGAAGATTTACAACGACAAATTTAGAAATACAATTCTAAAAATGAATATTTTACATTACAAACATTACTGACAAAATTTGGAATTTAAGGGAGGGCAAACAAGTTTATATAAAATTTTGAAATCTATGGGATATAAATTTAAATTAGTAAATGGACGCAAAATTTTATGTGAGCAGAAACATGTTCTTGCTGCCAAAATTACATTTTTGCGGAAATTTCCCTTGTGCAAATTACACTAGAAATTTTGCATACAAATTGTCAAAATTAATAAGTAGAAATTTTTGGAAATTGAGCAATTCAAACCACGTGACATTCAAGATGGCGTGGCGGCCACACATGGGCAAAAAATTACAAAAAAAATATCTAGTTTCTGCCCAAATTAATAGTTGAGGTACCTAGTCAACAAACATTTTATTAAATAATGAAAATCAAAGTTGTAAGCATAACTGTATGCAAAATAATTTAAAATACGCATTAGAACATATTCAAAACAAACTTACTTGGCCGCCACGCCATATTGAATTTTCCTTTTTGACAGATTGAATTGCCTAATATCCCAGGGCTGCGTTCAGGAATGGCTACAGCCAAGCCAAAATTGGCATTTTGCGTTCGAGTTCGGCTCCAACCTATGTGGTTCGGCATTACCGGTGGAAGGGGAAAAGTAGGTTTTGGAATTAGCATTGCCGTCCTTGAACGCACCCCGGGAAAAATTTCCAGAATTGTCATTTTTGACATTGATGCCCGCTTTTCCATTTAAAACGTATTGATGTCAAAAATCTGTCAAAGTGTATATTTTTGACAAACGCAATTTAAATGGGAAAGATCA